ATCTGAACTCAGCCACACCAGACCACATGCCATTCAACAAAAAGGGAGGGGGGGGACTGATTTGGAGTGAGAATGACACAAGATGGAGGATCTTTAGCAAAATGGAGATCTGTGTCCATGTCTGTATGTACAATTGCTACACTCATGACCCCCCAATACCATACCTTCCTGACCCCTAATACCATACCTTCCTGACCCCCCAGTACTCTGCCCTCCTGACCTCCCTGTACTCTTCCCTCCTGACCCTCCCTGTACTCTGCCCTCCTGACCCTCCCTGTACTCTGCCCTCCTGACCCTCCCCTGTACTCTGCCCTCCTGACCCTCCCCTGTGCTCTGCCCTCCTGACCCCCCCTGTACTCTTCCCTCCCTCCTGACCCCCCTCCCCGTGCTCCCCCCTGTGCTCTTCCCTCCTGGGCCCCCCCCTGTGCTCTTCCCTCCTGGCCCCCCCTGTGCTCTTCCCTCCTGGCCCCCCCTGTGCTCTTCCCTCCTGACTCCCCTTGTACTCTTCCCTCCTGACTCCCCTCGTACTCTTCCCTCCTGACCCCCCCTGTACTCTGCCCTCCTGACCCCCCCCCCCCCCCCTGTACTCTATCCTCCTGACTCCACCCTGTACTCTTCCCTCCTAAAGCCCCAGTATCATGCTCTCCTGGCCCCCCCTTTCACCATGCCCTCCTGACCCCCTAATACTGCCTCCTGATCCCCTGTCCTCTGCCCTGCTTACCCCTGTACTCTGCCCTGTTAATCCATATACACTGCCCTTCATACTACTGATCTCTGTATACTTCTCTTCATCCTAATGACCTCTGCATACCACCCTAAATTCTATTGACCTTTGCACACTGTCCTACATCCTACTGACCTGTGCACTTTGCCCTACATCCTACTGACCTCTGCACAATGCCCTACATCCTACTGACCTCTGCACACTGCCCTAAATACTACTACTGACCCTGTACTTTGCCCTACATACTACTGACCCTGTACTTTGCCCTACATACTACTGACCTCTGTACACTGCCCTACATACTACTGATCTCTGCACACTTTCCTACACCATACTGATCTCTGTACACTGCCCTACATACTACTGATCTCTGTACACTGCCCTACATACTACTGATCTCTGTACACTGCCCTACATACTACTGATCTCTGTACACTGCCCTACATACTATTGATCTCTGTACACTGCCCTACATACTACTGATCTCTGTACACTGCCCTACATACTACTGATCTCTGTACACTTCCCTACATACTACTGATCTCTGTACAGTGCCCTACACCCTACTGACCTCCTTGCACACTGCTCTACAACCTACTGACCTCTGTACAGTGCCCTACCTAATACCAACCCCTGGACCACGGCCTACATACTACTGACCTATTTACACTGCCCCACATCCTACTGACCCCTGTACTCTGCCCTACCTACTACTGATCTCTGTACACTGCTGTACATATTACTGACCTGTGTATGCTGCTCTATATACTACTGACCTCTGTACACTGCCCTACATACTATTAACCCCCGGGACCCTGCTCTACATACTACTTACACTGGCCAGAAATCAGAGCAGATAGCCAGGCCCAGAAACTAGTCAAGAAAATCAGCCTACAGTACCAGATGTTCTGCTTTCATGATGGACTTTGGCATCAGCCTTGTGGAGGCTTTGTCCAGGCATGAAAAAAATTGTGAATGTTGAGTTTCTCGCTGAAGCTAAATTTTAAGGTAGGATAAGTTTATATTTTTACAGTGACATTAGTTTTATTGGATTTTTCAGTTTTTTTTATAACGTCTTTACTTTTTATTGGGGGCTTGCAAGTTAATCTCTTTTTAAAAAAAGAGGACACTTAACTCCGATGATCTTTGATCTCCTCTGTTGTCAAGGTTGATCTCCATTGTCTACCCCTGCTGTAACTTAATTAAGAACCTTGACTGCATCAGCAGAAACAACATTCTAAATGTAGCAGTCGTGGATAATTTTATACATATTATTGATTTGTAAACTGACATAGTTTCCCATGGCATTGTACAATGTCAAAAATATAACAAGATCAAATGGTACAGAAAACACAAAAGCTAAAATGTTCAAAAGATGAGCCCATGCAGTTGTGTTAGACAAAGTATGTGAAAAAACAATCAGCACAGTTATACAATATTTTCCAATATAATCAAAAATGTGATTGCTGCTAAAACATCACTCAATGTTTTTCATTACATCTCACATAAATACATATATATACTTCTAGATGTAGCGCAATCCAAAATCAATAAACTAAAAAAAACAAATTGTCCAGTCTTACAATGATATCACAAGTGTCCATAATAGTCTACCACCAATATGCCGTTATCTCAATGCTTTTTTTCAACGTCTTAAAAATCACCTTCTTGTATTGACCTCAATGATCCTGCTTGTCACCCCACCATGAGCTATTAGGCATCTGCTCTCCTTCTGGCCTTTATTCTCCAGCAGCAACACTCCACTCTCAGGTAGATATGCATGCAAAAACAAAATGGAACCAAAGATAGTGCTCTCTGTATAAACTTCTTTTTAATTAAAACTCCACAATCAATAAACTCACATTAAAACCGCATCCAAAATGCTATGATAACAGCATAATTAGACATGGGATATGGCCAGTGCATCCATATATCACCAGCGTGGCTCCTGCTATACATGTTACACTCCTTCTTCAGTAGCTTGGTGAGGCAACAAGCATGGTATGACCTTAATGTACCTTTAAGGTCATTAAAAGAACATCTACCTGAGAGTGGAGTGTGTCGCTGGTAGAGAATAAAAACCAGAAAGAGATCAGTGCCTAATAGCCAGGGCCGGTGCTAGACTATTTTCGCCCTATGCAAAACCAGCTACTTGTGCCCCACCCCAAAAAAAAAAAAGGATTATTTTTTTTAAAACAGTAGAAAATATTACAATTAACAAAACATGAAACTGCTAAATTTTTTTAATTTGCAAAAATAAGTGCCATAAGATGCCACCAGCACCAATATTAAAGACAAAATATTATATTAACCAAATATAAATTAACTGTATTAACCAATAAGACAAAAAAAAAAAAGACAAAGTTACAAACCTCCACAGTCATCAGCAGCCACCAGCCGGCTTGCAGTAAGATACTGAGTCTGAGAGGAACTCTGGAAGGAGCGGCAGCTCAACTGCTACACTGACCCCAGACACCCAGCATCTTCCTCTTTCCTTTCTTCTTCCCCCTCTTCCACCCCTCCCTTCAGCTGAAAGATCATTCATGACGTGGCAGCATCCCACATGATCAATCAGCGTCCACTCCCCTCACTCTGACCATTGTCCGCCCCCTCCTCCACCTGTCACCTCCATGACCATCCATCCCCCTAGGCTTGGCTCACCTCTGATGGCTGTTGCCAGGGTGTGGAGTCCAGGCTGCGGTTCTCAGTGAGTAAAGGCGGCCTCCCAGCACTACACCGCTTCCCTCTCATACACATTGGGCCCCAATCATCCTACACATATAGAGTTAACCCTGAAACCAAAGCAAACCCCTGCCTATTGATTGGCTCCAACTGCATAGAAGGCGGAGCCAACAGTGGACACGCCCCATTTGGTCACTAGCCGGCAACCTGTTACAGCTGGAGGATCACGTGCACCAGTGTGTATATCAGCCGCCTGGGCTAATTTCATCACTTCCCATCCTAGGGGGAGACAGCACAGGAATACTGTCGTGTGTGTGTGTGTATGTGTGTGTGTATATATATATTTACCGAGAAAAATAGTAACATGTTCAATGCTTATTTTACTATATATAGATAAATATATATATATATAGTAAAATAAGTGTTGAACATGTTACTATTTTTCTCTGTAAATATATTTCTAAAGGTGCTATTGACATGAAATTTTCACCACATGTCAGTAACAACGCGTGCAATCCATACATACAAAGAAACCAAAACAAATAAGTTAAGAAATTAAGTTATGTGTAATAAAATGGACTGTTGGCACTATATAAATCCTGTATAATAATATAATAATGACAAAGGGGAAAAGTATTGAACACATGAAGAAAGGGAGGTGCAAAAAGGCATGGAAAGCCAAGACACCAGCTGAAATCAATCAGTAATTAGAAAGCAATCTTGCCCCTTGCCAATGCAAATTAATATGAGCTGGTTCAGTCTCAAATGATGGCTTATAAAAAAGGTGTCTCATTACCAAGGTTGCACACAAGAAACATCTCACGATGGGTAGAAGCAAAGAGCTCACTCAAGACCTTCACAACCTTATTGTTGCAAAACATATTGATGGCATTGGTTACAGAAGAAGATTTCTAAACTTCAGAATTTTCCAATGAGTACTGTTGGGGCCATAATCCGTAAGTGGAAAGAACATAATTTCACCATAAACCAGCCATGACCAGGTGCTCCTCGCATGATTTCTGATAGAGGAGTGAAAAGAATTATCAGAAAAGTTGTCCAGAAGCTGTGCTTCAGAAAGATGTGAAATTAGCAGGTGCAATTGTTTCAAAGAAAAAAAATAAATAATGCACTCTACCGCCATGGTCTGTATGCATGCTCACCACAAGACTCCATTGCTGAAGAAAAAGCATGTTGAAGCTCGTTTAACCACTTGCCTACAGGGCACTTATACCCCCTTCCTGCCCAGGCCAATTTCCAGCTTTCAGTGCTGTTGCACTTTGAATGACAATTGCGCAGTCATGCAACACTGTACCTATATGCAATTTTTATCAGTTTTTTTTGTGACAGATAGAGCTTTATTTTGGTGGTATTTAATCACCTCTGGGTTTTTTATTTTTTTTTTAAAAAAAACCAAAAACCACTGAAAATTTTGAAAAAAAAAAAAAGTTTTTTCTTAGTTTTTGTTATAAAATTTTGGAAATAAGTGATTTTTCTCCTTCGCTGATGTGCGCTAATGATGGGCACTGATAGGCTACACTGATGGACACTGGTAGGTGGCACTGATGGGCACTGATGAGGAGGCACTGGTAGGCGGCACTGATAGGCAGCACTGATAGGTGGCACTGACTGGCACTGATAGGTGGCACTGACTGGAACTGTTAGGTGGCACTGATAGGCAGCACTGATGGGCACTGATAGGCGGCACTGATGCACACTGATAGGCGGCACTGACTGGCACTGATAGGTGGCACGGATTGGCAGCACTGATAGGTGGCACTCACTGGCACTGATGGGTGACACTGAAAGGCAGCCCAGATGGGCACTGATATGTGGCATTGATGGGCACTGAAAAATGTGGCACTGATGGGCACTGGCAGGTGGCATGAATGAGCACTGAGATCTGGCACTGATGGACACTGACAGTGGGCACTGCTGTGGCTACACAGATCATCAGGGCACACTGATCATCAGCGCTCTGATGATCTTTGTACATGTCCCCTCCTCGAGGAATGCTGATTACCGGCTCTCCTCTCCACTTGAGCTGTCAGCGTGACAGCTCGTGGGGAGAGAAATGCCGACAACCGGCATTTCCCTGTTTACATGTGATTGGCTGTGATTGGACACAGCTGATCATATGACCAAGCCGACATCTTCGGCTCTTTCCGTTGATCGGCGATCCGCTGTGTCCGAGGGACACAGTGCACCGCCGATCGCCACACTGCGAGCTCCAGAAGCCGTGCATGCACGGTTAGAATGGGAGGACGTCATATGACGTCCTCCCAGAACAAGAGAACCACCTTGCATCCGTCATATTACTATATGGCAGGCGGGAGGAGGTTAAAGTTTGCTTCACAACATTTAGACAACCTTGTGAAATACTGGGAGAATATAGTCTGGTCAAACAAGACCAAAATGTAACTCTTTGGACACCATAATACGCACCATTTTTGTAGGTCAAATGGCACTGCACATCACCCCAAAAACACCATACCAGCAATGAAGCATGGAGGTTGGGACATCATGGTGTGGGGCTGTTTTTTTAGCATACGTCACTGGCAAACTTCATATCATTGAAGGAAGGATAAATGTAAAAATGTACCAAAAATCTGCTGCCATCTACCAGGATGATGAAGATGAAACAAGGGTGGACATTTCAGCAAGACAATAATCACAAACACAAAGCCAAGGAAACTCTCAATTGGTTTCAAAGAAAGTACATAAAGCTTCTAAAATGGCCCAGCCAATCATCTGACTGGAATCCAATAGAAAATCTATGGAAAGAACGAAAGATCAGTGTTCACAGAAGAAGCCCATGGGACCTTCAAGATTTGAAGACTGTGTGGAAGAATGGGCCAAAATCACAACTGAGCAATGCATGCAACTAGTTTCTCCATACAGGAGGTGTCTTGAAGCTGTCATTACCAACAAAGGATTTTGTACAAAGTATTAAAAACAAATTTCAGTTAGCGTGTTCAATACTTTTTCCCTGTGTAATACCATTTTATTACACATAACCTAATTTCTGAACTTATTTGTTTTGGTTTCTTTGTATGTATGGAATATATATACGAAAAATGGTCGTGTGTGTGGACAGGCTGTGAGACAGTTGTGCAGAGTAAAGATACCATAATTTTCTTGTGTATGAGGAGAGGGGAACTGCAGTTGCAGAGAAATGACGAATTCATACAAGAGGTACACAGGCCACACAGAGAGAGTGCCGGCCTGTGCTACACCCAGGCGCCCTATGTGGCAGTGCACCCTAAGCGGCTGCCTAGTTTGCCTAGTTGAAGCACTGGCCCTGTTAATAACTCATGTTGGGGAAACAACTGTGTTATGACCTAATATACCATTGATGTCAATAAAAGAAGATGAGTGTTTGATATGTGCACAGGGTGGATGCATGTGTTGCCTGGATGGGATTTTTTTTAAGAAGTTAAAAAAAGCATTAAGATTACGGCACGTTGGTGGATGACTTTTATGGACACTTGTGTTATCATTATAAGATGGGACAATTTTGTTTTTTTGCTTATTGGTTTTAGTTTGTGCTACATCCATCTAGAAGTATGGTATACATACAGATGTATTGCAACATGCTACAATAACCAGAAGTAAAATGGGAGAGATCCCAGGCTAGATGAGCTTACAGTCAAAAGGAGCCTCTCTCAACCTTTTTAGCCCCAAGGAACCCTTGAAAAAATTTTACGTTCCCAGGAAAACTCTTGCTAAAACCAGTTCATAGGAGAACAGTGGGAAATATTCCCTTTACATTGGTGGTCAGTGGTAGGAAAGCACCCCTTACAGTGGTGGTCAGAATATCACCCTAGTAAAATTCATTGGTGTTGTGCCAGTGACTCTGCAAATTGGCATTGATCCCAGAACAGGCACCATCAGATGAGAGATCAACCAGCTGCAGCTCAAGAAATCCCCCAGTAACCTCTGCAGGAGCCCAAGGGTGCCACAGAACCCTGGTTGAGAATGGCTGGTCTAGAGGACTGTAATGGTGCTGAGAATGATGCATATGCTCTGCTTTCATAAGCAACTGTGAACTAAGAGCTCAATCTAAATGAGGATAGGAAAATGTTGCAGATTTAAGCTGGCAAGGCTTGTAAAGAATTCTTGTAAAACATTTCAGAAAGCTGCAGGCCAGATTCTGTACATCCCTCTTTTTTACAGGAACATGTGGCCAATTAAAGCTTTGTGTTATTCGCTCCCTGCAACTGAGATAGTTTGCATTGCAATTACTTTTTTTTTTTTTACTACATGGTGGATAGGGCTGGTATGTCAAATGCAATCTACATTACAGAATATATCTTAAAGTGTACACAGTTCAGGGTTTTGAAAAAAAAGTTATGTAAGTTTGTTCTTAAGTTGAATTTGTATGTAAGTTGGAACAGGTACATTTTTAAGTGCAACTCCAGCCAAAAAATTATTTTTAAGCTTTGAATAGCATCGGGAAGAGTTAACTGGCCATGTGGGATTGTTGACAGGTCCGCCAGACAGTAGGTGGCAGCATGCGGTGAGCAGCGGGATGGCCACCCCTCAGTTTCCGGGAGCAGCGTGAGATCATGCTGCCTCTGTTGTTAAGCATCTTAAGTCATATGCAAGTCCGATGTTTGTAACTCGGGGACTACTTGTGTCTTAAAGAACATGCATTTTAATATTAGAGGTTACCAGTCATTTTCTTTTTTGGGGGCTTTATTTGCTTTAATTTCACCTGTTGATCCCACCAGTAACACACTTTCCATCCTAGGGTGACAACACTTACTCAATGTACTATATATAAGGAGGAGCAGTGTTATCACCCTAGGCTGCTTGTTTCTGATTTCCACCCCTTCTCCTCAAGTTCATAGGGAGGAGATGTTCCAGTAGTTCTAAGAGGAGAACTGTAATGGGCTGGTAACACTGTTTGAGACTTCAGACAGAAAAATATATATCATGTTGATTGGCTGCATGGCAAACTCAAAAACAAATTTTGAAGTTATATTGTGTCATGGCAGCAGAGCTATTTTTCTGGTTAAGATTTGACTTCAATGACAGGCCTGTGTGGAGAAGTTGGTCACCCATCCGCAATAATTTTGTTGTCATTTTGCCAGCATGTGCCTAGCTGTCTGTGGCATGAGGACCCCATAAAAGTGTTTTCTGTTCATAAGGTTTCTGTTTTTTTTTAAATTGAGGTTAGTTGATGTGGCCAGTTCACATGCAAACTGTTTATCAGAGTTATTAAAATTGATTTATGGTGGTATTGTCATAAAGATATGTCTGCTGAACACTGATATGTTGCCTATAGTTACTGGTGAGTTGACATTTGTGCTGCCTCCTTGATGGGACAGCCTGAGACGGGGCACCATAGCAAAGCCAATAATGGGCCTTTATATAAATATTTTACAATGTGTGTGTCTATTTTCTTATGCTATCTATTCCCTTTGTTTTATGGATTCCATTGGTGCATGCTGGCTGTGCCACGCTGCTCAGGGAGGTTAGAATATTTTATTGTATTTTTACATAGGGGAAGATTTATTAAACCAGAAGCACACAGAATCTGGTGCAGCTGTGCATGGTAATCAATCGGCTTCTAACTTCAGCTTGTTCAATTAAGATTTGACAATAAAACCTGGACGCTGATTGGTTACTATGCAGAGTTGTACCAGGTTTCAGTAAATCTCCCCCATAAGGTACATTAATTAAACAGTTGTACTGTCTTATTGAAGACCACTGCAGGGAAGGGTTTACTTTGAGCATGTATGATGCCACTGGAGTGCCCAAGAAAGAAGCTATGGTGTTAATTGCCATAACAGTCAAAGCTGAACTATCTGTTTTGGGCAGATGACCTGTTTGGAGCTGCAAGCTCGAATACACTTTTGTTTTGCGGTAAACCATCCTGTTATACAGTATATTTATTCATCAGCTCAGAAACCCTTTCTTTTTAAAATGGTTGCATAGAAATAAAAATAGAGTCCCAAATGATAAAACATGCTTTGTGCCACTATAATGTGTTATTTCTTGTGTAAAAGGTGATACATGCTGAATAGAGGAAACAGACCTTGGTTGCCAGTGCCATAAATTAAACCATGCATCAATCAATAGAAGCCCAGACAGCACCACAATTTGTTTAACCCTTCAAAGGACGGAATATGCCAAAAGTCACTGGGCTCATGAAGAAAGAAAGATTGCTGCACAATTGTATTCAGTGCCGGTAATCACCTTCAGATTATTGGGGCAGGAAGGTGCAAATGTGTCATCAGTCTTGTCTGCGTGTGTTAAATGAAGCAGCTATTTTCAGGAAAAAGTCATCAGAATCAAGTCATTCACTTAAAAGGCAGAGATTGCTATGTGTTGATTAGAGCAGTTGTTGTAGACTTGGTGTCTGAAGAGTCAGGAGAGTAGGAGAACCTAGCTATAGAAATTGCACAATGAGCAGCAACTGTGTCTTATCATTGCTGTATCAGGACCATAGAAACATCAGGTTTTGTTTTTATTTGTCATTTTTTTCGGAATTGGTAGTATGTTTTAATAGTTTTAATTTTCCATTCCTAATTTTGTACATTGCATTGAGTATTTCTGTCAAACTGCAGTGGTTATTTGGGGTTTGTTTGGCTTTACGGGGTATTTAAAGATAACTTAACTTGTAAACTAAGATGTATTATTTTATAACAATGCATAGATTTCTCTCTGAAGGGTCTAAGGTTGTAAGGGGTGGACCCCAAGGTTCAGTTTTGGTCATTACATTAGGCTATTACAAATAGCTCTATATTCAGGCTTCATGAACATTAGTGTTTTTTGTTTAAGCTAAAAAAAAATGCTGGGAAAAACACTGGATAAAAAACACTAGTAATAACACTTTTTTAGTAGCTTTTTTTGCAGCGTTCAGAAGCATTTAAGAGCATTAGCATTTCATTAGCATTTTCACAGTACATATAGAGGAAAATAAATGCTAGAAAAAAGCTGTTAGGAGCGTTTTAGTAGTGTTTAGAGTTTTTTTTTTTTTTACTGGAAAAATGCTCAAAAAAACTCTACCAAAACTTTTTTTTTTTTCTGCTCCTAGATGCTGAAGCTAAAAAAATGCTAATAGCCTAAAAGTAGGGTGCATGGACACATAGGATACCACTATTTAGCTTCTGGGAGCAGAAAAATATGCTTATAATAGCTTCTAGGAGCTCAAA